GAAGACAACAGAGACAGAGAGAGAGAGAGAGAGAGAGAGAGAGAGAGAGAGAGAGAGAGAGAGAGAGAGAAGGAAGGAGGGAGGGAGGGAGGGAGGGAGGACACAGAGAAACAGAACTGAATTTGACATTCCCTTGAGATGCCCTTAAACACTAGACTCTTCCCTCTGCAAGATAGTGTAATTCATAGTGCTATGCAGCTTTATCTTGCTCTTTGTGGTGGGAGAACAGAACAGGGAGGAAGTAGAGATTCCCCATATGCAGTCTTCTTTAAGGTCCTTTCATTTAGCACCTTGTTCCAAATATCCTGTGGAATACAGAGTAGGCTTCATTAAAATAAAGTTCTTTGGTCATATACTTGTAAGAAATATGAGAAATCTCACAACAAATACAAACCTTAAAAAGCTTCTGTCTACCAGTTTCTCAGAGCCTTTCAGATGCAAACATGCTCTGCTCTTCAGAGGTACAAAAGAGGGAGTGCAGAGCATTTCCCAAACCTCATCAACCCTGGAGCCTTTTCTTTTTGTTTTGTTTTTTTTGTCTAGCATCATATCTGGGACTACCATTATGTTGAGCAGTTTTTAGAATTTCCTTATTCTGATTTAAACAGTTAGGGTCTTGAGAGACCAATGTGTTGTGAATAGCATGTAAGAATATAGCATGTTGATTTTTTTTCATGGAAAATCCAGCTCAATTTTGGAGCTACTTAGGAGGGATCCAGAGTGATGGAGCCATGTTTAGTTCCAGCAGAAATCACCATCTGTAAGGGCATAGTGTCCTATGAGGGACTGCCCTGAATTTGAAACAATATCATAGCATGCTTGAAATATTGGCCCAATGAATGGCATCTGATTTTCTTGATCACCTTTCATTGGGCCAGAATATAACCAATGTGAAATTGTCAAATAGTCTTCTTGTGGGCATTGCCCAGCCCACTGAGCTCTGTTGTTCTACTTAGCATGGAAGAATGACAAAGCTTTCAGTCTTGTACTACTTAAAAGATGCCCTTTGTAGATGGTTCCTCAAACAGAAGGAGCTGTAGCCACAAGTAATTGCATCACCAAACCATCACACTAAGCAGGAAGGAATATTCTCCGTTGGAATAAGAATTTGCAATTAATTCATTGAACAGTGATGCTTGATCACAATTAAAAATATCTCTGCCTCATAACTGGAACCATTCTTTATTCACCTTGTGCTCTGACTCTAAACTCAAGATAGACACATGACTTCCTGTTTGATGATAGCTGTTGAAACCCTAATGGTTCTATTTTCCTCAGTGGGTCCCCTTGGGGTTAGGGAGCTATTGAACTGTTCTATGTGCCCTGTTGTAAGCTCTTTTGCTTTTCCTGCATAGCTGTTATGGGTCACGCTGTGTGAATTGTGAGCTCTTTGAGTGCATAGATGCTACTGAACACAAATGTGTCCAGTGCCGTACACAATTTCAGCTTCTGGTTACCTTTTAGAATGCAATAAGTGGATGAATTAGACTGCAGTGGCTCGTGAGGCTCTCAGTTCTTTTGCTTGGTCTGAAACACAGACAGAAGAATAGACCTCTTCTAGCTCAAATTTTATTTTCTGGAGCAGGGAATGCTGCAATGTATACATCTGTTTGGCTTTTAATAGACATTCATATGGTGCAAACTTAATCCCCTTTTAAAATCAAAGTATTGTTCTTGCAGGTAGCTGAGCTTCTCTGCATTGACTTCAGTTGCATATTGCAGAGGATCTGTAAGGCTTTGGGAGCTGGGGAAGCCCAGCACCAGGCTGAAAACACCTCAGTTAATGATGCCAGCAGACCCCTCACTAGACAGTGGTGCTTGGGCAACCAGTGGATGATTGTCTTGTCTTAATGTATTCAAAAGCAAAGCCATCTGCACATGTGTCTAAGCAGAAAGGGGATGATCCCTAGGATTGTTTTCAAATATTATTGGATTAATGCACTTTATTAATTTATGTAAATGAGAGTCCTCAAGCAAATGCCCTAATGGCCATTGTTAATTTGCTAAGCCCTCTTGCAATTGCCAGAACTCCTGGAGTGTGTAGGGAAAATGTGCACTGTGCAGTTTGCAGTGCATCAATTCCTGTGCTAAAGTTATGTGACTTTTATATCAATTTGGGGAGATTCATTTTTCTCACTATAATTTACAGACCTCTTTCCATTGGCTGGGAATGCAATTTGCCAAATGGATTGCATTTGGTACTTTATTTTCTCTTCATAGCTAGTTCTTATGTAATTTATTTACAGTTCATCAGGCTTGATGGATGGATAGTAAATCAGCATGCAGCACTCTTAAGTTAAATGGTCAGGCTGCTTTTGTGGGATGGGGTGAAGGGGGAGGATCTTTAACTTCCTGTGTCCTGAGCTGTGCTTTCTGTCTACTGAGGTGGCTGTCCCTATTGAAGACATGCAGAGGATCCACCTAAGATTCATGTTTCGACACCGGTCATCCCTGGAATGTGAGTATGCAAGCAAATGATATCTCTTCAGCTTCCCTGATGGGGAAAAAACTAGAATAGCCGGGGAGGAACATATGTCATTTTTTTTCCTGACCTCACAATGCTATTTCCAGCTAAAGACAAAGGAGAAAAAAACTTTGCCATGTCTTATGTGAAACTGATGAAAGAAGATGGAACCACTCTGCATGATGGATGCCATGACCTCGTTGTCCTCAAGGTACAGAGCAGTGAGGGATACGGGATGCAAAGGGAAGTGACAGGCTGGCTTAGTGGCTAACAGCAGGACCTCAGGATCACACAGGCAGTGAATGCAAACAGCCCCCAGTACTGGAAAAAGAAAAGAAAACTTATGTGAAACTGATGAAAGAAGATGGAACCACTCTGCATGATGGATGCCATGACCTCGTTGTCCTCAAGGTACAGAGCAGTGAGGGATACGGGATGCAAAGGGAAGTGACAGGCTGGCTTAGTGGCTAACAGCAGGACCTCAGGATCACACAGGCAGTGAATGCAAACAGCCCCCAGTACTGGAAAAAGAAAAGAAAACCAAGAAAATGGGCTTGTGACTGTGTAGAAGAGACCTCTGTGGGACATGTAAGAGGTGTACAAGAAATATTTCTTCTCTGTGTTAAAAAAAAAAAAAAAAAAAAAAAAAAAAGAAAAGAAAACCAAGAAAATGGGCTTGTGACTGTGTAGAAGAGACCTCTGTGGGACATGTAAGAGGTGTACAAGAAATATTTCTTCTCTGTGTATAGCCTCTGTTCATTTTATTTTTTTAAATGATCACACATTGTTCTTAACTTGAAAGCCATTCTTCCACGGCAGATTATGAACCCTTTTAGGGAAAGGCCCAATTGTAGTCAGTTTGCTTTTGACTTATCCCAATAAACTTCAGTTTTTCACCCATGAATTGAAGGTAATCATAGAATCTGCTCCACGTGCTTGTCACGACGTTGAAATGAAGTGATCAAAGGCTTGTAGTGCACCTGGCACCACTCCCAGGGAGAGATATGGACCTTTAAGTGCAACCCCTAGATGTGTCCTGCCTCTGCCAGGTCGTTCCAGCATGCTGAAACCTTACCTGTCTATCACTGTGCTGTGTATTGTGCATTATCCTATTTAGTCTGTGAAAAATTCTAGAAGTAGGGGATATGATTGCTCCATTTAATCCTGAGAAAAACAAGACACAGTGAGGCTAAGAGAGGAACCAAGATAACATGGACACCTTGGTGAATGGTAGAACAGTGTGTGGATCCCAAGGCTTTGTGACCTGGTGTCTTTTTCATTAACTTCAGTTTTAATCTGGATTCCCTCTTTTACTGACGGCATCACATATATGGATTAAGATGGACTGGAATGGAGTAAAACTGCCTATCTGGGAATCTCCGTACACTCCTCCCACTCCATCTCTCAGTTTCCACCTATGCTGGGCAAATGCTCTACCACCGACTTATACCCCGGCCCTCCAATTCTTTTTTTTTTTTTTTT